AGCAAGAATGTTCCATCCTTCCTTTTAAACATTATCTCATCACTGTATAAAAGCACATAACAACAGGACGGATGGTTTACTTTAATTTATGACATCAAACAATAGGTTACCACAACAAAACCATAGCTTACCACATCTTACCATATGGTAATAAGTAAAACACACCAGCTTACCACATCTTACCATATGGTAATAAGTAAAATAGAACAGGAGCTATGGTTTAATCCATTCTTTAACAACAAACCTTAGCTTACCACATCATACCATATGGTATTAAACTAAAACAAAACAGGACTTGTGCATTACTACATTTTGTAACATTAAACCATAGATTTATCTAATTTTACCATATCTTACCATATTTTACCATATGGTAACAAACTAGATCACTACAGTAAAATCATATAACAGTAGAAGTTTTAAGATGATGACTTACCTCTTGACAAATTTCTTGTTCTTGCATCTTATGTACTCCAAGATGTTGCTGAACATATCATCAGGTGTTGTTTGTGTTGGTGTTGACCATTCAACTGGTGATTTTTGTGATTGTGGAGCAACTGGATCAACAGTTGGAGAATTCAGGTCCTCAAGGTAAGCATCTATGCATTCACGGACTTCCTTGAGCTTCTCTTGGCTGTTTGTGTACAGATTTGACCATATAGCATATGACGCCGTCTGTGACTGGGTGCTTTGTGGCTGTGCTGGTGGTGGTGTTGTTCTTGCCTTCTTTTCATATACATTCAAATTCTTCACCACGATTCTTCTTTTGCGAGGCTCTCCTGGTTGATCGGTTGCCGTGTTGGTAGTCAACTTCGTTGGTGTTGTTGGTGTTTGACGGTTGAGAGGGCTGAGATCAAAGGATGGAATGTCGTCTTCCCTTGTCACTTTAGGCTTCTCAGCAGCTTCGGTTGTCAGTTTTGGAGCCTCTTCTCGAACAACATCATCTGACACCGTTTTCTCGCTGTCAGTTTCTGGAGTCTTTTGCGCAGCTTGCCCTGTATTCCCTTCTTCTGTTGTTTCCTTATCAACTTCCATTGGATCTACTGTTTTGGTAGCTCCTTTTTCTCCTGTTTCTTTTGCAGATGTCTGTTCTGGAACTGCTTTCGGGGTGTCCTCTTGTTGTGGTGTTCCCTGATTCAGACCTTCTTGAACAGATTGTTCTGGTGGTTCTGTTGCAACTTCCCCCAGTGGACCTCCTTCTTTTGGGATGCTTTCCCTATTCACAGCTCCTGGATCAGAATCATCTTGCTCCTTTTCTTTTGGCTTCGGTGTAGATGCAGCAAGATCGACTGTAGATGGTTGTGAATCATCTTCTTTCTGTGTTTGCTCCTCGTTCTCCTCTTTGTTCTGGTCTATCTTTGCCTGTTTGAATATTTCATTGAGTGTTTTATTCAAACTGGCATTCATTTCTTCATCATTCTCTTCTTCATCATCTTCACACTGAAATTTTTCTCCTTCTGTTGGCTGAACATTTTCATCACAGCTTTCTTTCGCAAGATTCTCCTTGTGTCTGATCAGATTGTCAATTTGGCTTTTGTACTGGTCTTTGATTGCTTTCATCATTGCCTTCATTGATGCTTCAAGCAGTTTGATTGCATTCTCAGCCTGCATAATGGGAGCTTTTGTAAGATACCATGATGGTAATGTGTGTATGGTGTATGGTTAGTTACCATGGTGGTAATACATGGTATTGGCAATTATTATCACTATTCTGCATTTTTATAACATGAAACTATATCTTACCACACCTTACCATATGGTAACAAAGTAAAACAGAACAAGAATTATGGTTTCCTCCATTTTTATAACATGAACCATTGCTTACTACACATTACCATATGGTAACATATTAAAACACAACAGGACTTATGTTTTCCTCCATTTTTATAACATGAAACCATAGCTTACCACACCTTACCATATGGTAACAAACTAAAACACAGAAGGACTTGTTGTTTTTTGCTATTTTTAAAACATGAAAGCATAGCTTACCACACATTACCATATGGTAACAAAGTAAAACAGAACAAGAATTATGGTTTCCTCCATTTTTATAACATGAAACCATTTGCTTACCACACATTACCATATGGTAACGAAGTAAACCACAACAGGGGCTTATGTTTTGCTCCATTTTTATAACATGAAACCATAGCTTACCACACCTTACCATATGGTAACAAACTAAAACACAAAAGGACTTACGCTTAGTATGAATTGGACAACTGTAATATAGATAATTTGTACTTACTTGGTTGACTGTTTTGATATTCTTCAAATCAAAGTTCAGTGATGATGACTGGTCTGGACTTTTGTTTCTTTGTCTTTTCGGTGATTCATAGACTGGCTCATTCTCCTCTTCCTCATCAGCTGCACCATCAGCCTCATCGTCATTAATGTTGGCAAGCTTTTCGATCTCGTTCAACTCTTTTCCATTGTAGTAGCTCTTAATGTTCTCAAAGTTGCTATCAACATTGTTATCATCATAGTAGCTTACTGTTGGTGTTCGAAGCTGGGTTGAGAATGCCATTTCGTCTAGTTTGTACATGAAGCATACCTTTTTATGCAGATAGTTGTATTAGTTTTTTTCAAAGAGTATCATTTATATATAAAATATATGAGTAACAAGGTTGAAATGGCCAAGGGAATGGAGACTTACTGTAAGGAAGTGAAGATCTGCACTGACATAGAGCTTTGGTGATTTCAATCCTTCATTCATGTGTTTGAAGAAGTATTTGCACCAGTTGTAGCTGGTGAAATGTTTCAGTTCTTCAGTCTTCAAGTACTCAAGCATGTTGAGTTCAGCCATAGGTGCTGAAGTTGGACACAGCAAGCCTCCGGTGACCAGCAGAAAGAACAATTGCATCCATCTCTTAGTCAGTGTGGTTGTAGGAAGATCTTTTTCTACCTGACTTAGCTTTACCCTTGGAGTGGATGTTCCATCTACTTCGAGTAGGGTTTCTACTGCATAATCTGCTGCGTCATCCCAAGAAATCGTGGGAGGTACAACTTCCCTATCCCCCATCGGCAGACCATATACCCTATGAAAGTCGATTGGTGATATCTTCCTGTGTGTCCCGTCAGGTAACTTGAACGATTCTTTCTCTGGATCGTATTTGTTCATTACGAACAGTGCAAAATGGTTGTTTATCTTTGTCTGCTTGATTGATATTAAGCCTGCTAGGCCTAATATGTCAAGTTGCTCTTTCCGCTCATCTGTTATTGACCTTGCAATTGCAGATATTCTTGTTGGGCTGCACCTTGTGCGAAAACTGTGTCTTGGTTTTACCATAGTGTACCTGAATGTAGAAATTAGTAATAGTCTGTTAGTATGCTTTTTACCATAATATACCATATGGTACCATAATGGTTTCCTACCATACCAAATCAAACCATATATTTATCTCATTTTACCATATGGTAATTACATCAAACCATGTCTTATAACATATTACCATATGGTAACGAAGTAAAACACAACAGGACGTATGTTTTCCTTCATTTTTATAGCATGAAACCATAGCTTACCACACATTACCATATGGTAATAAACTAAAACACAGCAGGACTTATGGTTTTTTTGCTATTTTACAACATGAAACCATAGCTTACCACACATTACCATATGGTAACAAACTAAAACACATCAGCACTTATGGTTTTTTTGCTTTTTTACAACATGAAACCATAGCTTACCACACATTACCATATGGTAACAAACTAAAACACAGCAGCACTTATGATTTTTTTGCTTTTTTACAACATGAAACCATAGCTTACCACACATTACCATATGGTAATAAACTAAAACACAGCAGGACTTATGGTTTTTTTGCTATTTTACAACATGAAACCATAGCTTACCACACATTACCATATGGTAACAAACTAAAACACAGCAGCACTTATGGTTTTTTTGCTTTTTTACAACATGAAACCATAGCTTACCACACATTACCATATGGTAACAAACTAAAACACAGCAGCACTTATGATTTTTTTGCTTTTTTACAACATGAAACCATAGCTTACCACACATTACCATATGGTAACAAACTAAAACACAGCAGGACTTATGGTTTTTTGCTTTTTTACAACATGAAACCATAGCTTACCACACATTACCATATGGTAACAAACTAAAACAGAGCAGGACTTATGGTTTTTTGCTATTTTACAACATGAAACCATAGGTTACCACACATTACCATATGGTAACAAACTAAAACACAGAAGAACTTATGGTTTTTTGCTATTTTACAACATGAAACCATAGCTTACCACACATTACCATATGGTAACAAACTAAAACACAGAAGGAGTTACGGTTTCTTGCCTTTTTATAACGTGCAATCATAGTTTACCACGCCATACCATGTGGTAACGAAGCAAAACACAACAGATTCTACACCAGTTCAGCAATGCATGCTAACGATTCGGTAATGTAGCAAGTTTTACTACAATTTTCACATGAAGAGTGACTGAAATACTGTTTCTATTGTTCTATGGATGGATTTCGAAGAAAGAAGTGAGGTTTTACCTTGATATTTTGTGCGAAAACGATTTTTGAGACTCGTTGAAGTTGGAAACCCTTCGTTTTTCGACGAAGAAGCGAGAACAGTGTATCGTTGAATGATTCTTCGAAAAGCTTTGCGAAAATCGTTCGATTTGAAGTTTTTTCTGGAAGTTTTTGCTGCGATTTTGGTGAGAGAATTGAGGAACGGGAGGAAGAATGGAGAGAAGGCGGGACGGTTGTCGTGGTCACGTCTGCAATTCAAATTGTCAGAAGGAGAGAAGGCGTGATTACCTTTTTGCCCCCGCGTGTATTTAATTGCCATGATCTGACGGCTGGGAAGATGGCGCGATGGACGGTCAGATGGACGGTTACTGACGGTTACTGATAGGTCGGTTACTGATAGGATCCAGACCCGCGAATTTCACCTTTCAGCTTCGGGGATGAAGGGACAGCAAGTAAGCAACTGCAATTGGAATCCTTTACCGTCTCGGATTAGGGGATGGTATGGGAAAGAAGAAGAAACCTGTTTTGACAGTACAGTAGCATTCTTTTTCCTTGTAGCTCTGGGAAAAGCGGAGGAGCGCAATTTGACAAACTCGGGAATTCTGGGCTTCATTGACCATCTAAGCACACAAATCGGAAACGCTTGTTATTGGGCCTCCAACGCTACCTGTGATGCCACAAGCCAACCACCTCAAAAACAGGCCCCAATACTAGAGTGTCGCTGCGTCGCCAATCCGTTATTTCTTATTGGTCCACTCGAGCAGTGACGTGGCACTGATTAGGTTTATCAAACCCAGCCGAGATTTGATGGCCATCCGTCGGCCCATACGTCAATGTAGTATTGTTTAGGGAGAAAAAAATTTAAATTTTAGGGTGACGAATAGCAATTCATAAAATTTATGGGTAATTTCAAGTTTGGTCATTGAGTTTACTAAAATGTGTCATGTTTAGTCACTGAAAAAAATTAATATCAATAATAGTCACTAAATTTTGTAAAACATGTTATGTTTGGTTACTCTCCGTTAGTCTCCGTATAACTCCGTTAATGGAATCCATTAAGTGCTGATGTGACAAACAAAATCGCCTAGTCAGCCAAATTTAATCCAACAAAAGTAAAACTTCAACCACCACATCATTAAAACCAACTCACCTGACTTTTCTTCCTCCCACCTCCTCCCGCAAACCTCGCCCTCCTCTCCTCCTCTCGCAAATCTCTCCCTCCTCTGTAATTCCCTTCCGGCGTTGCTAATTCGGATCGGGCAGTGGTCACATTCAATTGTTTCATCATGGAACACGACATCTAGGTCAAATTCTGCTCTCCAAGAGGGGGAGCATATGGCCCTCTGTCTGATCTTTCTCGAATCAAGTTATGGTCTTGCTGCTTGTTGGTTCACGTGAATGATTTTCCTTTTAATCCTGTTGGGGATGTGGCTCGGGCCCAGTCACGCGAGCAAGACAGCCGAATGGAGGCAAGAGGATGACCACAAATGTCAGAGGTATCGAGTGGCGTCGTTTTACCTCACAGCTCGATCCCGCCCAGGCCGACGTCGTTTTGCATTGCCCAAAACCACCGCCATTTTAAGCCTCACTCAAGCCGGCGTCGTCTTGCCCTGCCTAAGACAGGGGAGGGAGATCGTAAGCATGGCGCCGCAGTTTACGAAGGAAAGGTCATGTCGTGTGTCAGGTCCTAGGAATGATTATGGCCTAAAAGCATGGCCTAAGTTTCCTGACACACGTTGTAGTCTTATCGCATTAAATACCCACTACTGTAATGTACTATAAAATGGGCATTTACTATGGTAGGTAAGGGATCGGTTTTTGGATTCTCTCACTAATAAACACAGATTTCTCTCTCTAGCCAATTTCCTCTGTAATCTCTTCCTCTCCGTCGAGAGTTCTCATCAGAAACGAGTCGTCATTACGCCTCGCTTGCCCTACTCCCCCCTTTCCTCACGAGTCTCACTCCTACACTCAGTAAGGCTCAAACAATTGGCGCCCACCGTGGGGCCAGTAGGGAAGCGATGGAAAACCAATTGACGACGGAACGCAATATCGACTCACCCAGCGAAGCGACACCCATCAAAGCTATGACGAACCAAAGGACACACTCGGAGGCCAGCAACTTCAACGCAGTACTCATTGAAGAAGAAGAGCCTGAGCTGACGCCCAAGGAGATGAGGCAGCAGATGGCTAAGCAAAACGAAGTCATTGCCGACATGCAAAAAAAAAATGAACCAGGTTATAGCGCTCATGATGAGCAAAGAGTCCGCGCAACCCAGTCACGCGGCGCTGCCATCGCCAGACGCGACCGCGGAAAACGTCCCGCTGCGACAACAGATCCCGGTCGTTATGTCCGCGGACGAGGCACCCCAGGTGGAGCCGCGCCCTAGGGCGGACCTCAGTTTCTTGGAGCAGCATCTTTCTCCACAATACCGCCCTCACCCTCCTAAGAGAATCCTCCACCAACCGCTAAGCGCGGACATAATGGCGGAGCATTTAAGCGGTATGTCGCCCGCCCTCCCCACGTATAACGGGACGACGGACCCAGAAGACCACGTCAGCACGTTTTGCCTCAGAATGCAGCTCCAAACCAATTCCAACGCGGCACTTTGCCGGACCTTCCCATCAACTTTCTCCGGCATATGCCTCGACTGGTACAACAGACTCCCGAACGGAATCATCCGCTCCTTTGAAGAGTTCATACTCCTCTTTTCTACCAAATTCGCGTCACAAAAAAGGAGGCCCCTACACCTCAAGGCCTTGATCGACATCAGGCAGAAGGATGGGGAAAGCCTACGCGCGTTCTACGCCAGATGGTCAAGAGTAGCCATGGCGGTGCGCGACCTAACTCCCGAGACCGCCGCCCATCACCTCATGGACGCTACGACCAGCATGGAGCTCAAGCGCGCCATAGCGAAAAGGCCAGTGACGCTGTCAACGGAGCTCGAGGCCGAAATCGAGAAGGCTATCACGCTATAAGAAACTCTGGGCGCGGGCTCTATCAAGCGTTTTGAACCTTCCAAGCCGCCCAGCGAAGACCAAACGCGGAAGCAACTTCCAGTGCCCCGAGAACAGTTATTACAGTCCCACAGCGGGTCCAGAAGGCAACTCGTCCCGCCAGAACAACTACCGCGAAGACGCTCCCCCGACAGGCGTCAGCAGAACACGATGCCCGCTTACACGCCGCTCAATGATTCTATAAAAAACGTGTTCCATGTCCTCCGTGAGAAGGGATACAAAATCAATTGGCCCGCGCCTGTCAAAGCCACGCCTCACCTGCGCAATCCGAACAAACATTGCGAGTTCCACAGGGAAACGGGCCACTCAACGGAGGACTGCAGGGAACTGAGGTACGAAATAGAGGGACTCATCCGGAGAGGACTGCTGTCACAGTTTATCCAGGGGGCGGAAGGACAGAAAGCGCCGCGCGAAAATCCCCCGCCTCCCCCGCAGCCGGAATACGATGAGACAACCGGCGCTTACCTAGTGCGGAAGGAAATCGGGGTAGTGACGGTGGAGGGGAGCCGCCCAACCAAAAAGACCAAGCGCGAGCGCGCCATGGAATGCACGTCGTCGGAAGTATGCCCAAGGTGTCACCTAAGTTTCGACGACTCGGAATTTCCCCAGGGAACCCCATCAGAGGACCCGCTAACCATCACCGCGCTAGTAGCCGCCTGCAAAATTCATCGCCTCCTGATCGATGGAGAGCGCGGCGGATATACTATTCAAAAGCACTCTCGACAAAATGGACATTGATCCACGCTTGATCAGGCGAGCGGAGGGAAACCTGGTCGGTTTCTCAGGAACGAGGGTCGCAGTGATCTGCGCGGTCACCCTTCCCGTTGTGATCGGAGATCAAGAGCCGCGGGTATCCAAGCAAGTCGAGTTTACTATCGTCGACTGCAACTCCCACCACAACGGCATCCTGGGACGCCCATTTCTCGCCAAGTTTATGGCACTGCCGTCAACGTGTCACCAAAAGCTCAAATTTCCCACCAAGGTAGGAATCGGAGAAGCCAGAGGGACCCCGTGGGCGACCCCACGAACAGAAGAAGAGCCCCGCCAAACCAACATCGCCGACACGCGGGCGGAAGAACCGCGCCCAGAATCAATGGATTCTGATTTCGAGGTAGCACTCGACCCAGCTGAGCCCGAGAAGAAGATCCGCGTCTCAACTCATGTCCCTGGAGACATGGTTGAACCGCTGATTGCATTGCTGAAAGAATACAAGGAGTTGTTCGCCTGGTGCATGGAGGACATGCCAGGAGTGCCAAGAGAAGTAGCGCAACACTCTCTCGCGGTTCCCGTGAATGCAGAACCGAGACAACAGGCGCGCAGAGGCTTCTTAGGCGATAAGTTGAAAGCCATAGAAGAAGAGGTTGCGCGTCTACTCGCGGCGGGGCTGATCCGACCGGTGAAATATCCGAAGTGGTTGGCAAATGTGGTGCTAGTAAAAAAATCTTCAGGAGCATGGCGCATGTGCGTCGACTATACAACATTAAACAAGGTGTGCCCGGGGGATCCTTATCCTCTGTCGCGGATAGACCAGCTGATTGACGCCACAGCGGATCATGAGACGCTGTCCTTTCTAGACATGTTCTCGGGATACAACCAAATCCCGATGTCTCGAGAGGATGAAGAAAAAACGGCGTTCATGACCCCATTTGGGAACTTCTGCTTCGTCGGAATGCCATTCGGCTTGAAAAACGCAGGCGCAACCTACCAGCAAATGATCGACTCAGTGTTCTCACGACAGATTGGGCGGAACATTGAAGCGTACGTGGACGACCTCATCGTCAAAACCAAGGCAGGCAACTCGCACTTGGAAGATTTGCGCGAGACTTTGGAGCAGAAGCTGGAAAATTTCTGGGGTTCATGATCACCAAGCGCGGGATCGAGGTTGACCCGAAACAAATAACCGCCGTCCAGCAACTGCGAGTGCCGAGGAGCGCGCTGGAAATACAGTCGTTAAACGGCAAGATAGCGGCGCTGGGAAGATTCATACCAAGGTCAGCTGACAAGTGCGCCCCTTTCTTCCAAACGCTCAAGAACGGCGTGCGATTCGCGTGGACACAAGAATGCGAGGCAGCATTTCAAGAACTCAAGACATATCTTGTATCCCCACCTTTACTATCTGCCCCAAAGCTTAATGAAAAACTTTTTCTGTACCTTGCTGTGTCAACAAGAGCCGTAAGCGCAGTACTAGTGTCAAGAAGGGAGAGCCAAGTCGAGCGGCCTATGTATTACACGTCACGTACGCTGGTGAGCGCGGAAACAAGGTACTCCCCAATTGAGAAAGCAGCCCTCGCGCTGGTGAGCGCCTCACAGAAGCTACGCCCCTACTTCCAAGCACATCAAATCACGGTCCTAACCAACCTTCCGCTCAAAAAAATCCTGTCCTCGATGGAAGTATCCAGGCGAATGGTCAAATGGGCAGTCGAGTTGTCTGAGTATGACATCCAATACGCCCCGAGGCCCGCGATAAAAGCTCAGATCCTAGCAGATTTTATCGCGGAAGGAGTCACCCTTGACTCTACACCAGAAGGAGTATGGGATGTCTACGTAGATGGCGCGGCAAGCAAACATGGAGCCGGAGCGGGGGTGGTTGTGCGCGCCCCAATGGGCGCTACGCACGAGATAGCGATCCGGTTCCGGGCATTGAAGACAAACAATGCGGCAGAATATGAAGCAATCTTAGCGGGAATGACGGCCGCCAGCGATTTGGGCGCGAGAATGATAAGGATCCTCTCCGATTCCTCTCTGGCAGTTAATCAACTGAATGGAACCTTCGACGCGAAGGAGGACGCCCTGGTGCATTACATGGAGCGCGTCAAACAAAAGGCAAGTACCTTCGAGACAGTGACGTATGCGCAAATACCCCGGGAGGAGAACATGCACGCGGACGCGTTTTCAAAACTGGCAACCGCCACCGACTTCGAGTCAACTCGACTGGTATCCGTCCAAAAGGAGGAAGATGCCAGCCGCGAAGTGGTAGTCAACACCACACAACTCATACCAGAGGACGATTGGAGAACCCCGATCATGAGATACTTGCAAGACGGCGTGGTACCAGAAGATTCTAAAGAGGCGTGGGCCCTAAGGCAAAGAGCGGCCAGCTGCACGATAATTGGGGGGGAACTATACCGGCGTTCATAATCAGGCGCTTACTTGAAATGCATCGGCCAGGAGGAAGCCCACAATGTGGTACGCGACCTACACGAAGGGCTATGTGCAATGCACGCCGGGTCGCGTAGCATGGAACGCACAATCCTGCTACACGGGTATTACTGGCCGCGAGTAATAAAAGACACAAAGAAGTACGTGGACCAATGCCACAAATGCCAAGTGAACGCACGCCAACATCACCTCCCCTCGACCGAACTCCAAGGCAACCTGAGCCCATGGCCGTTTGCGCAATGGGGAGTCGACCTGCTGGGTCCCTTTCCGACCGCAAAGGGAAAGCGCAAATACATTATCGGGGCGGTGGACTACTTCACCAAGTGGATCAAAGCTGAAGCACTCGCCTCGATAACCGCACAGTAGGTGACACGATTCCTGAAAAATAACATACTGTCACGGTCCGGAGTCCCGAACGCGCTTGTCTTCGACCATGGGAAACAGTTCGATTGCGTGGAAGTAATTGACTTCTGCGATCAAGTCGGAGCAATTGCAAGGTTTGCGTCAGTGGCCTACCCACAAGCCAACGGCCAAGCAGAATCGGCCAACAAAGCAATCTTACACGGATTGCATACACGCCTGGGCGACGCTAAAGGCAATTGGGCCGACGAACTCAACACAGTGCTGTGGGCACACCGCACAACATACAAAGTTGAGACGGGAGAAACACCTTTCACGCTCACGTACGGCACTGACGCGGTGATTCCCATCGAGACAACAGCCCCAACGTACCGAATCACAATGTACAATGGAGAAACCAACGAAGAGGCGCGCCTTCTAGACCTCGAGCTAGCACAAGAACGGTGCGAATTAGCATCCATCAAGCTCGCGGCAACGAAAGAACAGGTAGCTAAGTACTACAACGCTAAGCTAGACCCTCACAAGCTCAATCTCGGAGACCAAGTGTTGAGGCGGAACTTCCGTCCGGACCCCAAACACGGGAAACTCGCATCAGTATGGGAGGGCCCGTACCTGATCCGCGAAGTAGTGGGCGCAAACACCTTCAAGCTCAGTGAATTGGGAGTTGGGAGGCACGACAATTCCAAGAACATGGAACGCGCAGAACCTCAGGAAGTACTACAGTCCAGATTAACATGTATTTGGTCACGGTGGCACGTTTGTATGGTGAAATAAAGCCAAAGGTTCGACAAAGCAAAATAGCAATAATCCCGAATTATTCGCGCCCCCGCAACCGAACGCTAAACGCCGATGACAAATCGCGCACACAGTTCACAAAATAGCAGTAATTATGAATTATCTGCGCCCCCGCAACTGAACGTAAAACGCCGATGACAAATCACGCACACAGTTCACAAAATAGCAGTAATTACGAATTATCTGCGCCACACAGTGTGGAAACTTTTTGGATTCCATTTCATGGGAGCGGGAATTACAACTATCCGCGGGCTAAGACATTAGCGCCACGATTAAATTAAAAAAAAAATATCATCAACCATCACCGCTCCAACTCACGCATCGTCCGCATCGACAACCTCAACCTCGCCATCCGCCGCCGCAGCGGACCCTCCACCCTCACCTTGGTCATCTGCGCGCTCATCGTCTTGGTCATCGGCGCGCTCCTCATCTTCCCCTTCCTCGGATTCGTCCTCCGACTCAGAGTCGATGGTCAGTGGCTTCTTCTCACGCAGCAACCCCTGCACGTGCTGAACCATCTCCTGAGTTCTCCAACGAACGCCCGGGTTTTCGGGGCGTACTTTGTTGCCGACCGCGATGACAGCCTTAGTCATCGCATCCGCCAAGACCTTCCCAAACGAGGCTGAGGACTTCTACTGCCGCACGGCAGCAACCTGTGCCTCCCGAACATCTTTCTCCTTCTCCTGTTGAAATTCTTCGCGGACCTGTTTCAACTTTTCTTCATGACCCGCCTCCAGCTGTGCCTTTTGCTTCGCCCATTCTTCAGCCAGCCTTTTCTTCTCTTCCTCGAACTCGCCACGCAGCTCCGCCCGAGCCCGCTCTGTCACCGCTTGGACATCCTCCGCCAGCTTACTCTGCAAAACCCCCAACTCCACGAGGGCCTCA